TCACACTGATGAGAACGTGAGAAAAGAATCCAGCTGACCGTGGTTGGTGGTCTCCAGGGGCTCCGGGGCGCCCTCTCTCTCCTCCCCGGGCCTGGCGCTCTCCTGCCCGGCCACGCACACTGGGGAGGCCCGGTGGTTCTGGTCCTCCTCGAAAACTAACTTGAACTCAAACTCGCCTTCTTCCCACCCGGCGGCCCCCATTCCTCCACAGCGACAGCCCGGACACAAACCAACCTTAGTGCAATTGTTAAAAAAAAATATACAAAAATATCTTTGCAACTTTGTCAGGTCTGGGTCTATCGCAGCATCGCATCTGTCGGGATCAAAGCGGCCCCAAACTCGGAGAAAACTTCCATCTCCTCTCAGCTCCACGCCATCTTTCCTGCTGCGGCTCAAAAGAAGAAAAAACCAGCAAAGTTCACAAATATTTGGTGGCGGTTTTTGCTTAATTACAGATGGGGAGGTTTGGCAGCGTCAGTGCGGCCGTGATCCGCCTCCCGTTGGCTCGCGCACCTGTCAATCAAGAAGCCCCTCTGCTCCAGCCCAGGTCCCCCCCCTCCCGTTAGAAGAAGGATTTCCCACTGCATCAGGCGCTCAGTCTGAAATGGGCAACTTTGAAACGTTTTAGTGGTAATGACGCGGTAAAGCTGGGGTACGAAACTTTATAACCACAGAAATGATAAGTTATGTTTATTATGTCTAAGGAATTGTGAATTAATTCTTGTTTTTTGCCAGATTATAGAGTCTTGAGATTTATTTATAATTGATTTGGTTTTGTTATGTACACAGCCCTCAGGTTTGTGGCCTTGGACTGACTGAAGAATGTGTTATGCCCTGATAATATTTTAGATCCATGGACTGGTCACGTCTGTCTCAGCTTTCTCACAGCGGCTGAGTGGTTAGCACGTTTAAGTCGGCAAATCTCCAACCAAACACATTTTTTTGCATTATGTTTTTATATAAAATAATGCAACAAAACACAACACATTGGTCCATAAGAGGCAGACGACCAACTTTGATAAATGTTGTTGTAGGCTGTAGGTCCAGGACTGAGGCTGTAGACCCAGGACTGAGGCTGTAGACCCAGGACTGAGGGGCCTTGTGCTGTAGACCCAGGACTGAGGCTGTAGATCCCAGGTTGAGGACTGTAGACTGAGGGTGTAGGTAGACCCAGGACTGAGGCTGTAGATCCAGGACTGAGGCTGTAGACCCAGGACTGAGGCTGTAGATCCAGGACTGAGGGTTGTAGACCCAGGACTGAGGCTGTAGACCCAGGACTGAGGCTGTAGACCCAGGACTGAGGCTGTAGACCAGGACTGAGGCTGTAGACCCAGGACTGAGGTGTAGACCCAGGACTGAGGGTGTCAATCCAGGACTGAGGCTGTAGACCCAGGACTGAGGCTGTAGACCCAGGACTGAGGCTGTAGACCCAGGACTGAGGCTGTAGATCCAGGACTGAGGCTGTAGACCCAGGACTGAGGCTGTAGACCCAGGACTGAGGCTGTAGACCCAGGACTGAGGCTGTAGACCCAGGACTGAGGCTGTAGTAGACCCAGGACTGAGGCTGTAGATCCAGGACTGAGGCTGTAGACCCAGGACTGAGGCTGTAGATCCAGGACTGAGGCTGTAGACCAGGACTGAGGCTGTAGATCCAGGGACTGAGGCTGTAGACCAGGACTGAGGCTGTAGAACGAGGACAGAGGAGATGCAGGACTTAAGGTAGCATTTTTCAGTCTTTCCTTGAGTCTTACCTAAACCTGACCATGTGCTGAGTTAAGGAGGTGGATGTTGTTTGGGAGTGTCTGCTTCTTTGGATCTTGTTGGGACTGTGTCTGCTTCTTCTGGATTACATAATGTTGCTCCCCCCCCAGACCCCGATTCCAACCCTCACTACATTAAATTATTTCATTTTTTACCGCACTAAATTTTCCCCGTACCAATCTTCATGCTTTCCCTTACACACCTAATAATTATTCTATTAAATGTATTCCATCATGTGACTTAAACCAATGGGACTCAAAGAGGAGGAGATAAGAGACCAGGAGAGAGAGAGAGACCAGAGAGAGACCAGAGAGAGAGACCAGAGAGAGACCAGAGAGAGAGAGAGACCAGATGAGAGAGAGAGAGACAGAGAGAAGAGACCAGAGAGAGGACCAGAGAGAGACTAGGAAGAGAGACCAGGAGAGAGACCAGAGAGAGAGACCAGAGAGAGACCAGAGAGAGGGACCAGAGAGAGACCAGAGAGAGACCAGAGAGAGAGACCAGAGAGAGAGACAGAGAGAGACCAGAGAGAGAGACCAGAGAGAGACCAGAGAGAGACCAGAGAGAGACCAGAGAGAGAGACCAGAGAGAGACCAGAGAGAGACCAGAGAGACCAGAGAGACCAGAGAGAGACCAGAGAGACCAGAGAGAGACCAGAGAGAGACCAGAGAGACCAGAGAGAGACCAGAGAGACCAGAGAGAGAGACCAGAGAGAGAGAGACCAGAGAGAGACCAGAGA